CCCCAAAACCCCAAAACCCCAAAACCCCAAAACCCCAAACATCACATCCCCTGAACTTCTACGCAAACGAGAAATTAGGATTAAACTTCCCACTTGACCTCTTGCCTTTCTCCTTAGCCCACACATTTCTTCCCTTAACTTTACTCATTTCTTCCTCTTCCATCACGCTGATCTCTCCTTCAGGCTTCCCTGAAGGAGCCCCTTCAGTGTGCTTGACCAGGACACTAGGAGGTAAGCCTAGGGATCTTACCTGTTGGCCTCCACAGTCAAGTCCTTCTTGTTCCTACTAAGAGCCTTACTTGAAAACCCGACTGGCTTGTAGTAGGGCCTGGCCCTACATAAGCGGGTCTTGGACTCATGGTCAGGCTGGTGCTAGATTGAAGTGGAAGCTTACTTGGAAAGGCACGGACTTGTAGATGCTGAGAACGGTCTTGGTCTGGCGAGTGCTGGGTCTGTAGAGGAGGGAGGATTTGGACTCGTTGGGGTGACTGGTGTTGGGGAGGATTTTGGACGGGGAAGAGAAGAATTGGGGGAAGTTAGCGGTGTCTGGGGATTTTAGGAGGATTTTTAGTGAGGATTTTGCCTTTTGTCTACGAGGGATTCCTGGCAGAGGTGAAAAGGAAGAGTACCTTTGGTGAAAGTTATGGAATTGCTTTTCTGGCCATATCAAGGAGGCATGTCCCTATTTGGTTCTTGGAAAGGGATCGATTGGGAAGAGGGTCTGTAAAATGTTGAATATTTTTGGCTTCTCCTCATTTTTATATCAGTAATAGAGCCTTTCCTCTGGTTCAGCTATGGGTTAAACCCAAACTATACTCTTTGAGCCATCCTAGACTCCTTTTTTCTCTTGTAGTATCTCTCACTTGGCTGTCAAGTGTTAGGCTTCTTAGAACTCTTTGATCTGGAATTGATATTACTACTATCTAAGGATTTATATGGATTTTGAGAAATTTGGAATTTCTTGTTTAGCTGAATTCATTCATGAGTTACATCTCCAATAGCTTTATTAGTATATTTTTCAGAAGTAGTGGGAATATGCATGTTCTAAACATTCAGAGAAAGATTACCTTTACAGCGTTTGAGAGGAGGCCTTTAGAGGTTTGCTTCTGCCTTTTGACAAGACATGAGGATTGAACTCTCTTTAAGGATTTAGAATTTGTATTGTAAAGATTATTGTGCTTTGTAGAACCTGGATGTATTTTATTTTCAATCTTTTCTTCCTCTTTCAGACTAAAGAATTATTCCTAAATTACTTAGAGTATTCTTGAAACTCTGAATTATGAATCGAGAGTTGGGAATAAACATGTCTAATGGTCGATACTCTTTTGTTAATGCTCTTTTCTCTATCAAGGATTGTTTTCTTAAGTATAAACCAAGCTTTTTCACTAAGTTTAACATTTGAGATGAACAAATTTTTCTTAATACGATACAGCTGTCCTTCAGCTGACGAACACCTGACAGTATCTATGATAAAATTAGCACTTTTTTCACCCAAATGTTTAAATTTAGTTGACTTACTCATATGGTGTTGATTCTTTAATGTAAGGGCTCTATTTTTCCAAAAAGAGTTGGCCTTCTGTAAGAATGACTACCTTTATTTCATTATTTGCCCTTTGATTTACTCCTAGATCTCGCACTTTTGTAAAATTTCCTCAGTCTTTGGATTGGAGTCTCATCAGATTGACCCTTTACAGGATGTTCTTGGACAGGGGTATCAGACTCTATTTGTGAGAACATCTCAAATTCTCCAGTTTTAACGATATACACGTATTTTCAAGGATCTCCATGGGAGAATACGGTGTTCCCTATTGAGTTACCCGATAATGTTACCTCTTTTGTAGCTCACTTCTTGTAAAGATAGAGATACTTTCGATAGAAATTGTTTGGAATAATGAGCTAAACATGGAATCTCTTTAAGAATCTTGATCTTATCCTCAACTATGTTCTTATGAATCTTTCCTATGATATCTTGGTACTCGTTCTTAGAGATACTAGCAAATTGAGTGTCTTCAGTGCAGAGAACAGTCGCAGCACGAGGCTTCGAAGAGAGGAGGGCTAACTCCCCAAAATATTCCCCTACTTTTTGGCATGCAACCTCCTTATATCACCCTTCATATGGGTCATCTGGGTTATAAATAAATTTCATCTTGTCCTCAAAATTTAGCTTATTTAGCAGCCTGATAGAGTAATTTTGAGGACCTATTATTAAAACCTGGAGTTTACATTTTATTTAATTATGGGTTTCTCTGTGTTTCTCTTCCTAGCGTTTTTAGCTTTTTCTTCTATAAAATACTGTAAAGGAGTCAATGAGTTCCTATACCTTCATTTGTATCAGGCTTGTACCATTTATGAGTATTTTGTTGCACTGATTTTCTTATAATTTAAAGGCATATTTTATTGCAGAGGACTACGAATTATTGCTCTTGATAATACCTGAGAGGGGTATTGGAAGCGGCTTTTCACTTCTATAATTAGCCTTGAGGTAGGATTCTTACTCTTTGGAGATGAGGGGCCTGATGATTTATTACCTGTCAAATCTTCTACTATTGAGTTAATATTCTGAATTATTGCATCATTATTGATCTACAACACTTTAGTACATTTGAAGAATATTTTGACGAATTAATTTAATTAAGAATATGACATACCAGAGAGATCCTCCTAAGCATTTTAAAATTCTCTTTATCAAGCATTTTCTCTGCCTTTTCAACAACCTTCTGCTTCATTTTAAACTTCGTCAACGGCTCTAAAAAACTAAGCTCTGCATAATAAACTCCCCAAAATCCATAAAATACAGAACCAGCATACCTCCATTTTCATCTTTACCAATTTCTTCCTTATCCAGGACCAAAATCCTGACTTCTCCTTGAAGAATGATATAAAATTTCTGACCATATCCTTCTATGCCAAACTCTCCAGGCCCATCAGCTTTTGAATTAAGCGTGAATACTTTCTGATCTTTTCTTAAGAATTCGTATTTCATTATGTTTCCTAAAAGTTAAGTTATTTCAGGGCAGAGAACTGGGAGGTCTCCTCCCAGTTCTCTGCTGCTGGATGAGGCTTTAGAGGAAAATGTTATGAAACACCTACAGATTCTTCATAGAGTAGACTCAGTGAATTGTTCATTATTTAAAGAACTTGACATTCTTGATAAATGGGAGTATCATGTCTAGCTCACGCTTAGTGAGGGGGTCCTGGGATTTGTTTACTATGGATCTTCTCTTAGATCTAGCGCTAAGGACATTCTTAACCATTTCTATAGGGACTTGGATCTGGTCTATTTTTGAAGCCATTTCTTAATAGAAAATAATTATGAAGAGTGGGGTTTTGGGGTTTTGGGGTTTTGGGGTTTTGGGGTTTTGGGG